TGTCTGGCTGTGATACCACAAGAAAAAAGCAAGGTCAGGTCTTGGCTAGGAAGAGGCAGACAGTCTGGGTCAGAGGAGGCCAGAGTCAGACAACATCAGACCATAATTAGCATGATTTATTAGCATAGGGAGTTGGGAAAGTTTTTTTTTTTTTTTTGCCTAGGGCAGCACTTAAGAGAGCTGGTCAAGTGGACCAGGTAGCATGGGGTGCCGGCAATTGCAGCTCTGTCACCGGGAGGGAGGACTTTATGAGGGAAAACCTGAAATAATAAATTGCTTCCAAGTTTCTTCCCAGAGCTAGTCTAGCCCCATCTAATAGCCTTCTTGGATTTCCTTCCAAGCCTGTGAAATGATTGAGATCATGAAATGGAAAATTAAAATTCAGGAGAAGTGTTGGGAACTGGACAGAAAAAAGAGGAGCTGGGCTGGCTGTGGCCTTGGAAGGGTGGAGCTAGAAAGGGGTTGAGAGAGCAAAGTCCAGTAGTTCTGGGGTCCTGGGGGTCAGCATGGTGGAGAAGCTACAGGGAACAGTGAGGACGAGATCGCTACCTGGAGGAGCCACCCCTCAGGCGGTCACATGGTTTTGTCTTTCTTTATCTGGTTTTGATTGAGAAATTCTTAGACCCTCCTGTGCACCTGCTCGCAAACATCCTTACCTAGCACGTGACTCTTACTTAGACCAGCCCACATGGGACTCAAATGCTTCTCCCTGACCTTCTGGAGATTAACACCCAAGATCAGCAGTTTCAGCACTTTAAAAAAAATATTATTTAAAAAGGCCCTCCCTGCAAAGAAAGTCTTGTTAGAAATTTCATTATATAATAATGGCTTTTCTCTTTCTTGAGTAAATGTGTCAGAGTTGAAGTTAAATGCTTTGTTTTTCATAGATTATCCTCAACAAAATGTCATGAAGTCATCTATTACATTGCCTTTTTTTATAAACAAAGAAAGTGAGGCACAGAGGGGTGAAATCTCTTTTCAAGATCACACAGTGAGTAAGTGGGTAGAACTAGAAGAAATCCTATAGGTGTATTCAAGCTCCCATGGCCAAGCCTTATAATAACCACGGTGTTACACTGTCTCTGGCGTTCCTGGTGTGGCACTGTAGGGTCAGCACTGAACTGTGAGCCACAAGGTCAGCAGTTCAAATCCACCAGCTGCTCCTCAGAAACCCATACAAGGTCATTATAAGTTGGAACGGACTCAATGGCACTTAACAACAACATATCTGTGGAAGGAGTCTTGGTGTGACTCTATCGGCTCAGCCCTGGACCACGAACCACTGGCAGTTCAAACTCACCAGCTGATTCTCAAAAACCCTATAAAGGGTCACTATGAGTCGGAACGTACTCAATGGCACCTAATAACAACATACTGTCTATATACACAAAATGGAGGAGCCCTACTTGAGAGTGGAAGGTTGGCGTCTGACCTTCTCATTTGTCACTCCACCCTGCTTCTATGATGACCCCTGAGAGATTTCTCAGGAACCCACAGAACTATTCTAATCTAGAAATGTTCTCTGCAGACAAATGGGGGTAGTGTGAAGAGATGTGTATGGCGTGTGGCTGTGCACTTGTGAAGTTACACAGGTGTGCAGGTGTGGAGCTCTAGGATGGCGTTCCAGGAAGTAGGAATGACAAGGATATTTAGTGACTTGTCACATGGTTGCCTATTGTCACTTGATTGGAGAAATCACTTTTTAAAGTAATCACATGCATGTGAAAAATATACAGCCAACCCATTTTGATAGGAGTCCTGGTGTGGTGCTGTAGGATAAGCACCGGATTGGCAACAATAGAACTGACTCTATGGTACTTAATAGCCACAACAGTGGGCCCCTAACAAGAGTGGAAACTAGATCTCTCAGACATCAGGAAAAACAACAACAACAAATCAACTCTTGAACCCAGACTCCAACAGGAAGCTCCCATTGGGGCAGACCCTGTATGACAACCTGAATTCCAGAGGGAGTTTCCTAAGCGGAGGGAGCGTTTCAGGAGAGAAGTCTCAGAGAGAGATGGCCAGCAAGCACAGGGACTTTACAGTCAAGTCCAGAGGTGAACCCGGCTGCCCCCTCTCCCCTCAGAGAGGCCTTTGCAGAAACTCAGACCCCTGTGCTGCCTCTCTGGGTGGCAGTGTCACTGTCCTAAAAGGACAGCAGGCATCTCCACTGCCGGGTATTCCTCCCGCAGCAGAACTTTGGCTCCCAGGTGCCTAGTCTGCTCACTCAAGCATGACTTTTCATGACCAGTTTCAATGTTCTAAAGGTCAGAAAGAACGGGCCTCCTTCTGAAGCCCAGAGCAACCAGGTGGAAGGCCAAAAGCCTGGCTGGTCCCTAAAATAACATTTGGAACCTGGTCTCCTGGAGGATATTTTATTTTAATTGGCTACAAGCCTCGGTAGGAGTTTCTATTCATTCTCAAGGGTTGGCTGGAATCGGAGAAGCTTCTGGAAGAAATCCTAACAATGAACTGGTTCAACACCTCATCACAATGGTGGAAATGTGGAGGCCTCAGATGTAGAAAGTTGTGTTTACAACTCTAACGCTTTGTTGGATTTTTAAACGATTTTGGGAATCCTATTGGTGATTGCTGCTGCTAATCTTTCATTTTTAAACAACCACTTAGGTGTGCTTGCTGGTCTCTTTGCATATGCATGAACTCATTTCATCCTCCTAGTGACCCTGTGAGGCAGCCATTCTTCTTCTCATTCCCACTGCACAGATGAGAACATTGAAACAGCTGACATTAAGATGGCGCAGTTACCATCATGTACTGAAGGCCTGGTTCAAACTCCTTGAGAAACTGGTTGCTCCCTGCACGGGGCAGGTGGTTGAGGCTATTTGTTCCCTCCAATACCCCAACTTTCCTTCAGAAATGGCAGAAAGAGGGGGTCCCCAGAATGGCAGTCTTGAGTTAGAAGAGGCCTGGGGGAAGATGGAGAACTGGGCTGGAATGGAGGCGGCAAACAAGACTTCCTTTTCCCTCTTTGAATTTAACCTCCTAACCAAATAGGAAAGGAGCCCTGGTGGCATAAAGATTAAGTGCTCAGCTGTTAACTGAAAGGTTGGCTGGTTAGAAGCCACTAGCTGATCCACTGGGGAAAGATGAGGTAGTCTTCCCTTAGAGTTTACAGCCCTGGAAACCCTCTAGGGAAACGAGGCATTTCTTAGGTCTGCTGGGGAAATGCAGTATGTATGCATATCTGTAGGAGTCAAGTCCAGGTGCAGTTATCTGGGGATTTCAGGTGAAAGTGAGAGACTTGGTGTGCACATGTATGGGGCGTGATAGTGGTTGTCTGTGTAGTCCCGGCCCTGGCTTCCTGGTGGTGGGGACATTCCATGTGGTCATTGGAGACCTGACTTCTCCTGTGATCTGGAGGATAGGATCCACCAGGGCTGGGGTGCACAGGGTGAAGGCTCTAGGAAGATGACAGCTGGATTAGTTCTTATATTACCACCTTTGGGTGTACACCTGCCCAGCCCAGCTGTCAGCCAGGCTTGCCATGATGAGTAGTCACCCTAGCACCTTGGGGACAGAGGCTCCCAGAGGGTTTCTGGGACATAGGGTTTGCACAAGGCACCAGGCTCCCTTCTCATGGGGAGAAATACTGAGAGAGAGGAGCAACGCCTGGGGGACAGCAAGCTGACTCACGTGTACCCACAGTTGGGTCAGACTGTGCTTTAATATAACTTGGTTCCCTTCGTCCTCACAGTGACCCTGATCATCTGTGCTTTAGCGATGAGGACATAGAAGCTTTGAGAATAACAATATTATTATCGATCCTGAATGGCTCACCATTTGTAACTGACCACGTAGGACGGTTGTTAAGGGTATAGGTGTTGAAGTCAACTTGCCTTATCCTTTGCTGTGGAGTTGATTCCAACTCACAGTCAACCTACAGGACAGAGGATTGCCCCATAGGGTTTCCAATGTCGTCAGTTTTTGCAGAAGCAGACTGCCATTTCTTTCTCTCAGGGAGCAGTTGGTGGCTTTGAACCGATGACCTTTGGGTTAGCACCTGAGCACTTTAACCAAGCATGTGATCTTGAGGAAGTCACTTAACCACTCCGTGGCTCAGTTTCTTCATCTATAAAATGGTGATAATAATTGCCCCTTTCTCATAGGGCCTCTGTAAGGAGGAAATGGGTACTTGGCATACATCTGGCATGTAGCTAGCGCTCAGTAAATGTCAGATAATGCCGTGGAACCCAGCACTCACAGTGTCCAGGACTTTGGGCTAAAGGCTTCCTTCTCACAACATTATAGAAAATATTATTATAACCCCAAGTTGTTATTGGTGGTGGTGGCTGTGTGCTGTGGAGTCGGTTCCGACTCATAGCGACCCTGTACAGGGTTTCCGAGGCTGTAAATCTTTACAGGAGCAGAAAGCCTCATCTTTCTCCCACGGAACAGCTGGTAGTTTCGAACTGCTGACCTTAAGGTTCGCAGCCCGATTTGTAAGCACTACGCTACCAGAGCTCCTTCCAAGTTGTTGTTAGTTGCTGTTAACTTGATTCCAACGTACAGGGAATCCATTTGTTCAGAGTAGAACAGTCCAAGAGGCTTTTCAAGGACTTTTGAACTCATATTGTCAGGCCTGTCTTTCAAGGCATCTCTAGGTAGATTTGAACTCCCAACCTTTTTGCTAGTTCAAAAGTTGAGTGTTTAACCATTGCGCTACCCAGGGACCTCAAGAAATTAGTATTATTTCCTCATTTTTTCTGTTAGCCAAATGAGACTCAGAGAAGTTATCTGAATGACCCAAGACCACAGAGCAGAGAAGAGGTTGGCATGAAGATTCTAATGCTGTCTTCCCTGCAGAGATCACCATTCCTGCTGGCTCAGCCCTCCCTGGGCCCTCTGCCCTAAACTCCAGCGAAGGGCTGGCATTTCCAGACTCCAAGCACAGCCTGGTCTTCTAACTGAGGCCAGTACCATCTCCTGCCCAATCCCATCCCAGCTGCCCTCAGAAGGACTCTTCCAGATGTACACACCTGTTTGATGCTCAAAGACAGGGTAATACTCTTCATTGCTGAACAGGTCTGTCCACGACATCAGGGGGTCACAGAAGGATGCGTTGGGCAGAAAAGTACTGTGTGTCACTGAGTCCAACATCACCCTGCAACAACAGTGAAGAGGCTGTGAGGAAGTGCAGAGCAGCTGGCTCCCGGAAGCCCACACTGAGCACAAGCGCCCAGCTGGGCAGCTTTTGGGTTTTAATAAGGACAGCAAACAGTGTATGCTGCCGGCTACAGGCCGGGTACTTCTCCCCATGCTGTCCATGTATGACCTCATTTAATCCTCGCCACATCCTGTGAGGGTTACATTTCTACATCCATTTTAGAGGCAAGAAGACTGAGGCACAGAGGGGGTGAGACAATGGCCTAAGTGACATAGCTTGTAAGTGGCAGAGCTGGGATTTGAGGATCCAGCCCCTTACTACATCATACTGCCTCGTTATTTACATTTCATCTGACATCTGACCACCTGAACTCTGGTTTATAATGTCTAACAATATGCTTCTGAAAACCCAGTAAGAATTGCTACACATGGAAAACCTTGAACCCACGATTCTAAAAGACAAAAGCTCCAAAAGCAGAAAGAGCGAGCGTGTGAGTGTGTTTGGTGCAAACTTGTTTCCCAGAAAGAAATCAGTTCTAAATTGAGGTGAAGCTAATTATAGTTTTCTTCTGTTTCATTTAGTGAATATCCATAGGCTGGATTACAGAAATAGGAACGTGTTGGAGTTGACCTACAGCCTGTAGGTATGTTCTGTATTCTGTGGTATAGACGCGGCATCACCTTCCCAATATCTGAACCATTCTGAATTTGACAATGTATTTGGCTGCAGGGTTTTGGATAAGAGAACCTACGATAATTGTTACTAGCATTAGCTGACTTTGGACTTCAAGCCAATGACTTTCGCACTTTATGGTCATTATTCACGGTCTCTTCCAAAGAGTGGCTCTGAGGTACAGGCACTAGCGTGACCTGATTTTATAGATGTGGGATGGGGAGTGCTGAGATTCTAGGGTAAGGGGCATCCAACCACACAGCTGATAGGTGGTAAAGTTTCGGTAATGACTGAGATTTGTCTGTTTCAAAAGCCCATGATTCCAATCTCTGCATTCTATTCCCTGTGCATGTTGGTAAGGGGGAGGTGTCAGGGGGATGTGTTAGGCAGAAGAGGCTGAAACTGAGACGCCCCCCACCCAATCTCATTGTCAGACCTCCTCTTTGCTGTTTCTTATATTTACATGATTCAGAACAAAAGTTAGTCCATGTTTGGAGGGTTAAAAAAATCTATCCACTCAATTTCTCTTTTCTGATTTTTACAGCAATGTAATGAGCTGCTACTGCTGCTACTGTTAAGTGCTGTTGAGTCGATTCCAACCCATAGCAACCCTGTATAGGGTTTCCAAGGAGCAGCTGGTGAGCTTGAACCACTGACCTTGCAGTTCAAATGGCTTTGCAGTCTGGCGCATTAACCCACAGCACCACACCAGGACTCCAATGTAACGAGCTAGGGTGGCTCCATCCTCAGTTTGCCAAAAGGAACATGGCGGCTCAAGATCACACAGCTGGTGAGGATCAGAACTAGGTCATCAGGCCATTTGTATTCAGAGTTTCTGGGTGAACTTGAACCTCTAACCTCTTGGCTAGTAGCCAAGCACATTAACCATTTGCGCCAGCCAGGGACTCCTCTTTATTAAAAGCATGGACTTTTAAGATGTTAAAGAGCTTACTGATCATCAGTGTTTCTCAAACTTCACTCATTTGCCTACTACCATGGTCATTTTCATTCGATCCATACACTATGAGCACTATTATTTAGTTAATGTATTAAAAAAAAAAATCAACTCCCTTTTGTATTGTAACATAAATATTACTACCATAGAGGAAAAATATTCTTATAATCTACATAAAAAAATCCATCAAGTTGGTTCTGACTCATAGAGACCCTGTATAGGGTTTCTGTGTAAATATTTATAGGAGCAGAAAGCCCTATCTTTCTCCTGCAGTGTGGCTGGTGGGTTTGAACTGCTGACCTTGTGGTTAGCAGTCCAGTGCTTATCCTACAGCACCATTAGGGCTCCTTAACATGCATAAATTATAAGAATTTAAATCAAAATTGTTCATCCATTTATCATGTAAATCAGGGTTTAGCAAACTACAACCTGTGGGATACATCTGGCCCATAACTTGTTCTTGTTCAGTTCCCAGCTAAAAACGATTTGGCATTTTAAAAGGTTACAGCTTAACTTGTTATATAAGCACCTACATAATATTCTTGATTTTGCCTTTTGGATCACAAGTTCTAAAATATTTACTATCTGACCCATTTAAGAAAAAGTTTGCCAACCCCTGACCAAACTGATTTCATGTATCCCCAGTACATGCTAGCTGAGATGGTCCAGTGTCTCCTCAGCCCCACCATGCTCCAGCTGAGGAAGTGGAGGTTCAGGGCATTTGTATAATCTGCCCCAGATCACACAGCTGATGGACAGCAGAGCTAAGTGTCCGAGGACCAGCTGCTGTAGAGTTCATTCCCACTCAAGGTGTCCCTGTGTGTGTCAAAGGAGAATTGTGCTCCACGGGGGTGTCAATGGCTGGTTTTTGGAAGATCTTTCTTGCAAGGTACCTCTGGGTAGATTCAAATATCCAGTTTTTTGGTTAGCACTGAGTTAACTATTTGCACTACCCAGGGATTCTTTATACTACAGAAAGGTCTCAAGTTTTCTGACTCTCGTTCCATCTGCTTCCTTTTCTAAAAAACACAGTCACGTCTACTCACGGACACGTCTCAGATACACTTAGGTATCAGTAAGCGTAGACACACTGAGATTCCGTGATTCTAGAACCGGAGACCAATTTGTTGTGGTATTTGCTAATTCATGGTGAACCTCAGATGCAAATCTTTACCATCACTGCCATCACCACACCTGTGCTCCTGACATAAATAAACAATCAAATTTGAATTCTCAAACGTAGACACCTTTTTGGGTTATTCCCGACCCCTAGAATGACCAGACCCCAATAACAAGTCTCCTTCCGGAAGCCCTGAGAGGGTTAATGTGCCCAGCAGGTTATCATGGACTTGATCACCCCCTGGGAGCTGTGTCAGCCAGAGGTCAGGGCCGCCTGGGTATGGACTCGGATTTTCCCACAGATTGGATGGCTTTATATCCTGAGCGGGAGGCAGGATGAAGAGGGATGGGGCTGGTGGTTATGAGGGAGAGAAGGGCCCCTGGAACCCACAACCGCTTTTGCTTTCTGGCTTGGAGTTCTGGAAAGTTCTCCTAAGAGGGGGTTTAGGGTAAAGAAGCTTCCTTCCTGATCTTCTCATCAGAAGACTGAGGAAGAGGATGGCAGGCTGTGACACAACCTTCACTTGGTGGGTATGGAGAAGTGAGAGGTATACCCCTACATGGAATAAAAGAGACAAAAGTCCCCACATCTTCAACATCAATACAAATTCCCCCAATACAAAATTCAACAACAGGAGTGAGAGCTTTCACATTCATACCTGACAAACATCTCTCTGATGAATGGGATTTGATCATATAAACATGGGGAATATTTTTTGGTCAATAGGGTATTTTCCTCTACTGGTTGTTCTCTTCTCTCTAGACCACCTCACTAATCGGTCATCTCTCCAGTGCTGTACAGAAAGAACACCATTACTGATTCACTTGGGTAACTCCTTCTACGGCAAAATATATCCAGTAAGTTTTCTAAAGGGCTGTCTCTCTCAGGTGCACACCATGCTATTTTCCTTCTGCAATTATTTCTTGCTATTTGGAAAAATGTCTTTTATAAAAGCGGAGTGCTTTTTTCTCTTCTCTTCTCTTGCTATTGCAGCAGAAGGCGTATTATTAACTCAGGGCTTCCCACAAAAGACCTTGGCCACTTAGGCAGCACACACGAGGCATAAGAGCTCAGGAATGATGTCTGCTTTGTGTTTAGTAGCCCCTCTTCTTCAGGCCCTTGAAGGTCCTTGCAGTAATTGAACATTTTAGCTCTTAGAGATTTCTTGAACATAGGTAGAACAGGGTAGGTGGGTAAGAGCAAGTCTTTGGGGCCCCATTTCTGGGGACATTGAAGCCCCAACAATTTGAAGGCACTGGTCTGATGTTAGAGACTAAGCATTCTCAATAGACGTGAAGTTGCCTCTCTGAAGGCAACAATTGGTCCTTGGATCAAATCTCACATCTCACAATGGTTTGTGGCTCCCTCCTATGGCCATACAGTATACCTATGGTATTAGCATTTAGGAACAGAATATCTAAAAAGATTCCTTTGAAAGGAAACAAAACCAGTTTTGATTCATGGAGACCTCATATGTGTCCGAGTAGAATGGTGTATCATTGGATTCTCAATGACCGTGATCTTCAGGCATGTCTGGGTGCATGTGAACCACCAACCTTTTGGTTGGTAGCTAAGCACTGAAGTGTTTATGCCACCTAGAGACTCCAAAGGCTCATGTGAGGGTAATAATGAACAAAGGTTGAGAAGCACTGCATCAGACCCAAAGTCGGCAGAGCAGGAAGAGGGGACACCTAGGCAGGACCCTTGGCCTGCTGTTCAGTTCACATTTTCAAGGGGCTCTCTGGCCTGTCATCATGGGAAGAACACTGGATGTCATGATTCCGCCCTTTGCATCTTTCCAAGCCTCAGTTCTCCAGTTACTGGATGGGCTTGAAGGTCTGTCCTGGCTCCATGATCCTCTGTAGGCATGCACACACTTGGCCAAGACGTCTAAACATACACTCACGTATGCATACACATACACATATACACACAGATTCTTTTTGGAGATGTGGACCAACAAGATTACCAAAGTAGAGTAAAATCCAATCACTACACACACAGACAAACCGTTCAGTTCTGTGAAAGCTCTCAGATTCCTCTTCCCTTCCCTCCTAGGCCAGCTACCATCTAACCCATTGCGTGTGAGAGAGTAGGGAGAGCAGAGGGTTTTGGATGCTCTTTGCCTGGGCTATCCAGGCCACTTACGTACTCTGGGCCCTCATTTACTGCCCACCAACAGACCCACGGTTGTTGGAATCAGTTTCCCCCAAAGGTAGTCACCTTTCCAGCTGCCTGGTAAACAGGTAAAGACCAAAGAGCAAAAACCAAAGATTTACACAAGGAAGAGGAATCCTGTGGGTCTCTTCCATGACAAAGGCTGGCTGCACATAACCTTCTGGGAGTGAGACAGTGATGGCATGCAGAGCTGAGGTCTCCGGAAGCCTCCAGTCACTCCCTAACCCTTCTCAGAACCGGCTCACTCACCAAACATGCACACGGAGGTCCACCCAGTTAGTGGGGCAGGCCTGTGGGCTTCTTGCCCCCACGTGAGTCAGAGGCAGCAGTAGCAGGTACTCTACCCATGGCCTGAACACCGAGGTATCTCTGGTCAACCTTCCAGACAGAGGGGAAGGAGCAAACCAGTCAGCCTTGGTCAGTTTACCAGAGGAGGAAAATTCCTTCCTGACCCAGGCGGGGGCCATCAACTTCACTCTGGGCATAGGACCAAAAGTCCACCTAATTAAGCATCTACACATTGATTGCTCATGCACCAAGATATCACCATGTAGAGCAAGATTGTGAGGTTGCAAACCATGGAAAAGAGGGCCAAGAAAGGTCTTCCCACTATCAGAGCAGCGTTATGGGGTGGGGTGGGATAATGGTGTTGCCTCAGCACAGGAATGACCACTGGGTCCCAAGCTCTTTGGGCAAGATAGAGTCTATTTCTGACCATATGAACTTCCCTAAGAAGGGACACACTGAAGAAAACCCAATGGAGTATTTCAACACTTGCTATTAAAGGATTGTAGGCTAGGTGCTGGAGTGTTTGTTCTGGGAGAAACCAAAGCAGCTGTGCGAATGGATTCGCTGAAGTCTTGTCAAGTGAGTCCTCATTTTCTTTAGCTTGTTTAGTTGGCTTTGCTTGTTTGTTTTTAGCTGTTTTTTGGAAGGTTCCACAAAGCCCCATGGAGGGCGTGCCATGGGAATCTTACAGTGGGCTTTGATGTAGATCTCACCAGCTCTGGATTAGACACCAAAGCCTCAAACCAAGTCTGTTGGGACTGAGTTGATTCTGACTCTCAGCGACCCTATAAGATAGAATAGATGTGCCCGGTAGGGTCTCAAAGACAGTCTACCTTTAAGGAAGTAGAATGCCACATCTGTCTCCGTGAAGTGGCTGGTGGGTTCAAACCGGTGACCTTTTGGTTAGCAGCTGAGTGATTAACCACTGAATCACTAGGGCTCCTTCCAAATTAGACACCTTGGGGGTCAAGCCAATAAGACAAGCAACGTGGGACAAATCTCTACTGCTCAGCCTGCTGAGATTCTTTTGATTTTTCACACAATATAGAAATCTACAACCCTTTCTGAATGTCAGTTCTGTATTTGTAAAAAGAGGATTTTTAGCATACAATCCTCAGACTCTATTGGCCATTTAATAAAATTGATAATACTCTTAAATCAATCATCATCAATTTATAAAGGGAAGGTTGCTGCTCTGGTGACTGGTGAGAAAGGGAGATACCCACAATAGGGAAACAAACGCCTGAAAGAGCACCGTAAGTCATGAAAAAAAATGTACAGCATGAGGACAGTATTAACTCAGCTTTTACTCAGCTGGGCAAACAACCCCTATCCCAAGCACTTTAAACTTGACAAAAAACCCCCCAAGATGTTTCCTTAAATCATTTAACTTTCCAGGGTATCAATTTCCCTCATCTTCCAAATGAAGCAGTCATACCCAATGATCTCTGATACCCTTTCCAGCTTGTAAAATTCTCAGCATATTCAAATGTGGGTTCCCAGCTTGTTTGAGAAAGAGCATGTGGTACCGATAGTGGCCAGCAGGGGGCAAACCCGTAGGAACCCCTCATACTGCACTGCAGTTGTGACAAGGTCTGAGAATACAGTGGAAAACCCCTAACCATTGCTTTTCTGGAAGCGCTCTATTCCGAGGTGGTGTAAGAGGGCAAAATGGGTTTCTTTAAAATGATTTTGTACAAATGAATTCCTCAAAAATGCTCCTAACTACATAAGATCTCTGTACCAAGGACACAGCAAAGCAGACTGCCTGGAAAAGAAGGAGTTAATCCAGGGGACAGGGGTCCTCCCTTCAACTTAATTTGTGTGTATGTGTGTGTGTAAAACGCAGCATCCCTTCCTCAAGACAGCTGGAAGAGCTGAGTGCCTGTCTCAGTCCCTTTAGTTTAGTCAAGTGATCTTTAGGGAGTGGGGACTGTTGAGGAGGGGGTGGGTGGCCGTGCAGCCAAGAAGGCAATCCATTAAATCCAAGCCAAACAGCCCCCTGGAGGCAGGTGCCTGAAGGACACAGCAGAGGGGCTGTGGCTCTTGAGCTGGAGACAGATGAATAGACCCAGGCCCAGGCCCCAGCCCTAGTCTCTGAGCCCTGACACCCCTTACAACCCCTCCGAAAGAGCAAGGAAAAGGCGCTTGCTTACGTGAGGGCAGCGGTGGCTAGGTCCAAAGTGAAGCTTTCAAGGCAAGAGAAGGCAGGCGCTCCCCGCACCAGCTACAGTGGAAATAAAGGCACCTGTAGCCTTGTGATATAAGTAACACCTACAGACAGGTCCGTTTGGTTTTTCAGGTTTATGCACAGCCCCTTTGATGACGGTGACATACAGTGTGGCACAGCTCCTTGGGGGGGGGGGATGGTTCTCACATGCAGAAAGTTTACCTTTATCCTGCTTTTGTGCCCAGCTCCCCACCCCCGGCCCAGGGGACTCAGTAAACAAGCCGGGAATTCTTGCCTCTGGGAACTTTTCGGGATTGTGCTGCCTTTGCTGGGGAATTCTTCGGTGCGAGTGCGCTGCAGGGGCGACTCAGCCCTAGTGCTCCTCTATGCTGCCTCTTCCCCTGGGCGGGCCAGGTCCTGCTCTTTTATCTCGCCTGTCGTTCTCCCTCTATCCCTCATGGCAAGCAGGAAGGGTGAACCAGGCAGTGGTTATGAACACGAGTTTTTACAGCTTTGCATTTAAATCCTGGGCCTACCATTTTTTAGCTGGGTCGCTTTAAACAACTTAAGCAGCCCAACGGGGTCTCATTGGTGAAATGTAAAGTGTAATAGCTATCTACAGTCAGGAGTCCTGGTGTGATGCTGTGGATTAATGCCATGGACTGCAAGGTCGGTTTGAACCCAAAGGTCGGCAGTTCAAGCTCACCAGCTGCTCTTCGGAAAAACTTTACAAGGTCACTATGGGTGGGAACAGGCAAAAGCAACAACAAAATGACAACAATCCAGTCTACTGTCAAGATCACATGAGATTACAAACAGTTGGCTGCTAACTGAAAGGTTGGAGATTCAAGTCTATCCAGGGGTACTTCAGAAGAAAGCTCTGGTGCTATATTTCTGAGTTAAATCATCCGCTGAAAAACCCTATGGAGCATAGTTCTACTGACACACACGGTGTAGCCATGAGTGGGACTAGATTAGACAGCAACTGGTTTATGCCTGTAAAGTACCAAGGAAACCCTCTGTGGGCTAGTACAATCCTATATTTTTATCAATAGAGTGTATTAATCAGAAACCCACTTTTGTATCATGACTTGGGTCTTTCTTTGACCATTTCACTTAAAGCAGTAACTGGGCTGTAGGCACATTAATTTAGCCTCTAATATCTTTGAATGTAATGAGTTCATGGTGCCTTTCTCCCTTGTCCCTGCCCCATTTTATGGATGGGGACATGGAATGGCTCAGTGGCCCAGTCTGGTGTCCTAATGTGAATACCAGCTATCAGGGATATCTCTGAAGTACATGCAGTCACCAGAATATGAACAAGCTCTATTCCTCATTCTGTTTTTAAGTCAAATTTACACATAAGTCCGAACAGCTAGGTATGGTTTATATCTAATGTCTGTTAGTCAAACGTTTGTCTTAATATATGCTGTACCTCTTTGTGCATAAGGAGTCCTGGTGAGGCACTGTGGATTAATGTGCCAGACTGCAAAGCTGTTTGAACTTCAAGGTCGGTGGTTCAAGTTCACCAGTTGCTCCCCAGAAACCCTATACAGGGTTGCTATGGGTCGGAACTGACTCTACGGCAATTAACAACAACATTTGTGTATAAAAAAATGAATGGAAACACTTTTAGGTCAATAAAAACATCTTTACCATCAGAATACTGTTTGGGTACACATAGTGAAGTGGTACTCATAGGTATTATGAACCATTGTATGTACCTTGAATTTTTCATGTCATAGACTTTATGGGTGTTGGCTTACAACTACACATATGTAAGTCAGTCAGATGTTTATAACTTGGGGCCACCTGGAATTCAGGCTTTGGAATATAGTGTTCCAGACCATCCATGGAACTGCATCTATAATCCTCTCTCTGCCTTTTTGCCCCACACTTCCAGTTCTCTTGGGCAGCTGAGACTTTGTGTCCAAACTGCAAACTCTAAGCTTGAAAGCAAGATCAGGGACTGGTTTGTTAGGTTTTCTGGAGAACTCTGGGCATGTGTGCAAACATATAAACACAAACAGACTCACAGTGTAGAGGAACAAAAGGCAGTTCATTAGAGGAGCCAGGTGTTAGCAGAGAAACAGGGTTGAAGAAAGATAAGGGGGTGGCCTATGCCACTGACCTGATGTGTGAGCTCAGGTAAACCAGGGAGCTTCTCTGAGTTTCAGTTTAACCAGAAATAGGAGGAGGAGGTTGGATTAGGATAGTGGTTTTCAAACTGTGCCCTGTGGAACCACAGGAGTTCCCTGGAGCTCTCAAAAGGGCTATTGGGCTTGAGGGGATGGGGAGTGAGTGGGGCAGGCTCTAGACTCCTGCCCGCCTGGTTCATAAGCGCATCACAACCTTTATATAAATCTTCTGGGTAAGATTTCATTTGAACAAAAGAATCTGCACTTAAAAGAACTTGTAAATAACTGGATTACATGGTCTTTGAGATTCCTTTCAGTTCTAAAATGGTGTGATCTCCCCTCTTCCTCCTTGGATTCTGGGGGATTGTGATGTCTTCCACACCAGGTCCCCTGCTGCTGGCCCTCTTGATCTCCTCACTGGTTTCTGAAAGGTTTCCAGTGTCTTCCTTCATACACACTCTCTTCATAGAAAGGGTTTCAAGGAAGACATAGTATTTTTAGAAGAGTCTGTTGAAGCAATGACATTTGTTGTTGTTGTTGTTGTTCACTCCTCTCAAATATCTAAAAATGAAAACGTTTCTAGCAGTAGGTGTTCATGACAACACTCTGTTTGTCTCAGAGCACCAAAGGAATGCCACTGCATCTCCGAGTAAAAGAAATTGTAGACTTCTGACCAGCGGATACAAAGGATGATCAAGATAAAACCAGACTAAAAGAGGAAAGTGACTCACATTTAACCTAAATGCGATTGGAAGGGAGATCTTGGATAATATCAAGCCCTGTTGTAGTTGTTAAGTGCCTTTGAGTCAGTTCCAACTCATAGCGACCCTGTATAGCGTTTCTGAGGAGTGGCTTGTGGGCTTATAAAATTGTATTTTGGGTGTTGTTTGGAAGAAAAGAGATGAGGACTAAAGATGGGGGGTGGGGAGCAGATGAATGACTGGAAATGAAGAAAGGGGGGCAGAAGAAGGAGTGGAACATTCTAGAATGTCCAGCCCTCCCTCCTCCTGGTGTCTCAGCCACACTGTAATAACAGCACTTGGGCTTGTTGTAATCTAGTGGATAAGAGAACAGGTTCTGGAGGGAAGCATCCTAGATTGGAATCCCCAACTGGCATCAGTCTGAGAAGCATAGTTAGCATCCTGGCATCTCAGTCAGGTCTCCCGGAAAATGCACACTAAAGAATGTGTCTCTTCTAGGGTCATTGTGTGAATTAAATGAATGAAAACTTATATGGAAATAATGAAAATATTCATGCATTATAAAGACTGTAAGCAACGGCAATGAACAATTTGGGTAGACATTGTTGAATGGGAACCTAAACTGCTGTGCAAATCTTCACCCCAACTACAATGAAACACTATTAAAAAATGAAAACAAAAACCCTACAGAGTGCAGAGAACCTAAATGGGAGCTCTAGTAATCTATGTGTTAGGACTGTTCCTTTCATGATTCACATTAAAGTCTCACAAACATCCTATGAAGGACACAAAAGGACATACATGGTATGCTCCCACATACAGGAAACCTCCGGAGTAGGCACATGTAAGGGGGTGGGAGTGGAGTGGAGGGAGTCATTGTTTACTGGGCACTGAGGGACTAGACACCGGTGATGGTTACACAACATGATAAATGTAATTAACGCCAGCAAATTGTCCATGTAAAAATTTTTGGAATGGCAAATACTTTGTTACATATATGTTGTTGTTGTGGTTGTTGAGTGGTGTAGAGTTGGTTCCAACTCATAGCCACCCTGTATAGGGTTTCCAAGAGTGTCTAGTAGGTTTGAATCACTGGCCTTATGGTTAGCAGTCCAGTGCTTATCCTACAATGCCACACCAGGGCTTAACATAATTAAAAAATTTTTTTGAAGGAGTTACTTATTTATCCCCATTTTAAGGATGAAGCACAGAAAGGTTAAGTAACTTGCCCACAGCCACACAGCTAATACGTGGTTGTTGTTGATGTTGTTAAGTGCTGTTGAGTTGGTTCTGACTCATAGCAACCCTGTATGGGGTTTCTGAGGAGTGGCTGGTGGGTTTCAACTGCCAACCTTGCAGTTCAAACTGACATGGTAGTCCAGTGCATTATCCTGCTGGAGAGTATTTTCACCTAGGCTGCCTGTCTTCAGAGCCCTACCCTCCTCAGTGCTGTGCTAAAAAGTCTCTAGATGCTTACAGGCTAGTTCTTTGGAATAGGGAAGAGGGAATCACACATGTATAGAGCTTACTTCATTGCCAAACATTGTGGTAGGATTAATCACCTGTCTTGCATCCATTCTTTTTGACAATAACCTTGAGAGATAGCTCTCACTGCCCCCTTCCCCCCACTCCCCCCCCCTTTTTTTTTAAAAGATGAGGTGAACAGAGGTGCCATGGTTGTTGGGGTTACCCAGCTGGCCAGTGGCCAGGCCTGGGTTGAACATCAGGGCTGCCTAATGCTAACACCACGCTATAGAAATGGGAACCCTTCTCATTTTGCTTTGGCCGCTGTACTGAATTCACTGGCCTGAGCCCTCTCTGTTGGCTCAAGATCCTTGGTTCTCATCATCTTACTGGAACAGTGTGTCTTCAATGTGGACTGGGAATTCTGGTGCCTTACTGAACCCAGGAGTCCTAGTGTGGTGCTGTAGGATAAGAACTGAACTGCTAGCTATGAAGTTGGTGGTTCAAATCCACCAGCAGCTCCTTGGAAACCCGATTCAGGGTGGCTATGAGTTGGAATCAACTTGATGGCTCTTAACAACAACAGCAACAACGAGTTCAAGGAGCCCTGGTAGTGCAACAGGTTAAGTGTTTGGCTGCGAACCAAAAGTTGGTGGTTCAAACCCACCAGCTGCTCTGTTAGAGAAAGATGAGTAAATCTGCTTCCATAAAGATTTATAGCCTCAGAAACCCAATGGAGGCATTTTACTCTGTGTGACGCTGTGGGTTAATGCGCCAGACTGCAAAGCCGTTTGAAGTG